AATTGAAATTATCCTCCCCACAAACATGCAATGCAGGACTTGAGAAGTAAAACAGATTCTTATGTTTCAAGAAGGTCCTCCATCTTATTATCAACATAGATTGGTTGGACAGGCTTAATCATCTGGCTACAAATATTTCATCTTATAACCCAAAGATGCCATACTCATCATTTCATGTCAGAAGAATGATCTATAATCTAGTCAGTGGCAATCCACATACAATGTACACAAAGAAAAATTCATTTTCAAATTGTCAAACACCCCCCTCCCCAAAATATATTACATATTTTCATACATCCCCCAAAATAATACAAATAAATTAAAACTTTTTGACCTCAGCATTCACTCCCTTAACTTCTGATGGTCTTTATGAGAATGAAGTAGGGGTGATACATAAGATACAAAATTTTAAATAAATAGTCTGGGACGATACTTTGATCTGCAATCCGTATTTCAGTTACACTCGGGCATTATTCAACAATATTTACACATGTGAAACAAGCAATCAATATATAAAATTTTGCAGTCAATCATCAATTAATAGCTAGTTTTTATAGAAGTTTATCAATTATTACTCTTTGCATTTAAGAATTTTACACATACACACACAAAAATTATCAAGCCCTGTATTTCAAAAAGTGTTTAGCAAGTTATTTTTATTTAAATTATAGATAGAACCACCAATGACAAAATGGTTTTTAATTTTTGAAAAAGATTATTTTAAAAATAAAATTACAATACCTATGTAATACTGTAACATGATGTTTATTTCAACTAATTGGCTGTAAGGAAACAAAATAACACAATTTTATGGGGGAAAAAAAGATTGAAGGAATTAATATTTTAATAAGTTTCTGTAATTTTTTTCTTGTGTTCCACTTTGCATTCAGTTCTTAGGTTCGAGACATTTCGCTGGGGTAGGGGTGGTGGTTTTCAGGTAGCCAATCAGTGACATAAATTTTAACAGGTGCATTTAACTGAAAAGGTCAGCTAAAATTAGCACTCAAAATCAAAATTTCAAGAGTAAAAATATTTTCTAAGCAGTAGTTGAACTGATTAGCTACCACACTGAAAAACAGCTGTGTGTGGATGAATTAAATGTAGGTCACATTTTCACACATGCATGTCTATGTACAAATTCAGCTGCCGTTTTCTTAATTATAACACATTTTTATAAGTAATAGCTTATATAATTCTGTATAAAAAAAATGAATTTTCTTTAATTAAGATAAATCTAAAAAAAACTTTAGCTAATATTGTTAGATTATTATTTACAAGAGAAAAACATTCAAAAACTTTAAAAATGTGCTAACTTATCACCAAGTTTTCAATTTCCAAAAACATTTAATTATTATTCACTTTTCTAATAATTTTTATAATCATATCTACACCGAATTAGAAATTTTCCCAAATTTAAACAAATCTACCATTGAGTTAACATATCTCCAACTTATTTACGGTATGTTTGCTTTTAGTAACCTCATCGCTAGTTGCCATGAAAAATACTAACTACTCTCAAAATAAAACGAAAAAAAATAATTTTTTTTATTGCATTCCATCTCATGGGTTTTTTTTTTTAAAAATTAACTTCCGGTCTATAAATTAAAATCTCAAAACGAAGGTAGGTATGTAAATATATAACTAGTTTTACTATGAAACAATCAGTAAAGCTAACAGTGGCTCATGGCCATGATAGAAAGAATGGGAATATGATAGTTATACACTTAATTAATTTACCGTATTAAAAGTGTAAACGTTCAAATAAATTTTTTTTAGTGCATTTAAATTGTGACGGTGTTATAACTAAAATTTAACCCAACTCCAACTTTACAACCCCACTGCTTAGGTGAGTTGTAATTCTTAAACATCACCATTGAGCATTTGTTAAATACTGGGGAAATGAGTTAAATTTTATGATTTTAATTTTAACACATATTTTACAAATAAAAAAAAAAGAAAATATAAGCAGTAGAGGTTACAATGTCATTTTAACTATTGTTCTTTCGGTTGTTACAAATTGTAAAATTACTAATCCTTTTAATTTTAAGCAATTTTTTTAAATAAGTGACAAAGGAATGGCATAAACTACATAAACATGAAAATAACACTTGATGGTAATGTCTAGTATACCCAACACAACCACTCATTTGTATCTTCTGACCACCAAAACATAGGATTAAATATGGCCATGAACACCTGGAATGTTTTATTTCTAAAATCAATCAACTCGGCTTCCTGTGGGAAATTATTATGATTTATTAGTAATATGGAAATATTTTTAAAAAAAATTAATTTAACAAATAAATAATCTTAGTGAAAGTTAATTTATCTAACTTTTTTTGTCAATATTCTGTAATCTTTTGTTAAAAAAATGTAGTTCTTATTAGCTTCACACATTTTTTTTAATTAAAAAAAAAAAAATTACAAGGGTAAATCAAAATATAACATTGAAAAAAAAGTCTAAACCTTTTATTTCCCCCAAAATCTTAACACTTAGATCATCAAACTTATACCATCACTGGCTGTGCCACAGTATGACAAGACCTTACTACGTCACTGGCTGTACCAAAGTAAATACATATCAATTCAGAACTTTAAAATTTTAAAAGTATTTATTAGTTGCAAAAAGAATTATTTTCACAAATTTAGAGGGAGAACTGATAAGTTACTGAGGTGCTTAAGATAGGCCACACAAAAATCAAAACACCATTCATAAAAGAGAAGTTCAACTAATTTATTTCATGAAACAGTGGAGCTATGGCCCTTTTTTTTTGGATTGATGGCAGAAAACTGCTTACAATTTGAACATACTGATTATCACAATAGCAGCAAAAGCCATTATAACTTGAATGTAAGATTAATCAAAATATTATCTCCTCAAGTGCTGCTCTGTGTACATTCATACTGGTTTTGGTGGCATTCATTAATGGTCTGATTGCTGTGTTTCAGACAGTTTAGCCTTAATCCTTTCACCCATAGCAACCAACTCTGGTTCATTGAAAATGGTTAAAGCTTCTTCCACGTATCTCAAGGATTCAGAGTAAAGTTTATTTTTGTACAGAGTCCTGTTGAGAAGATTTAAACAATTTACAATTTATTGATAGTAAAATTTAAATAGAAGATAATCATGTCATAATAAAATAGAAACAAAATTTTTAAATACAACTCTATCTTATATTTGATTGAATGAAGAGCCCTCCATGATAAACATGAAGTGAATTTTTTTAATACATATTGACAGTTCAAGATTGCAATGAAATAGTAAAGCAAGATATGTTGAGGCTTGAATCAAAAGAAAGGACAAACAATGAGATGAACTTTTCGGCTAAGAGCCTTCTTCAGGGAACAGGACAAATAGAAGTACAACAAGAAACAGAGCATAGTAAAAAACTTAGAGACTTCCTTTGTTGTTGCACTTCATTTCTCGTTTTCTTTTATATCATGCCTGATTTACATTTGTTGCAAACCCTCTTGAAAGCCTAGGAGTAGATTCGTGCAAAGAAAGGATAGAAGGGGGCAGTTGCCCCAATGCAAAAATCATCTATAAATTGTCATATATATGCACGTGTACCCGTATCATATATCATTTATTGATGGAACAAGTGGGTGGGTGGGTGGGTGTGAGTTAGACTGCCCTAATACAGCTTAAGTCGTGTGGTAATTCGAGGGCACTGAACAGTTATCGCTAAATTTTGAGTAACAGTCTTCAAAGTGTAATAGTGAGACTCCATGACATGGACACTAGCAACTAAAGAATTTAAGATTTTTAAGTACCTGGCTACTTTTATCAAATCCTGAAATCTACCATTTTCAGCCTCAGAATCTGTAAAAAAAAAAAAAAAAATGAATCATAAAAAAATCCGTAAGGACTAAAAACAAAGAGATGATTCATCAATGACTTCCAATTTTGAAGCTGCTTGCATACTTAAATAACCATTGTTAAAAAAATTTAAGATTTTTAAGTACCTGGCTACTTTTATAAAATCCTGAAATCTACCATTTTCAGCCTCAGAATCTGTAAAAAAAAAAAAAAAATGAATCATAAAAAAATCCGTAAGGACTAAAAACAAAGAGATGATTCATCAATGACTTCCAATTTTGAAGCTGCTTGCATACTTAAATAACCATTGTTATTATTTACTAAATCACTGTGTTGGGCTTAAAGGTCAATAAGAAAAATTAATTTAAAGATTTAAGAAATCTTCCCCACTTTAATGAGCTTAGTCTCATTTTGATTAAACATGATTCAAGCCAATGGCCTAAAATGAGATCAGGTAGATAAACCCCTTACCCTCAGCATCTGTGTCACGAGTCTCTTGCTCCTCAACACCTTCCTCATCACTGACCTCCACTTCAAAAGAAGATGCGGATTCAGCGTCGGAAACAATTATGTTTCTCCCTCCGGCTCGTCTCATTATGATGGGATCATTCTCCTTATCTATCTCGTCATCCTCATCCAAGTCCTTACCTTCGGCCTCAGCACCCTCTTCACTTTCTGCCTCTGATTCACCAACTACACTTTCATCAGAACTGACCTCCAAGGCCGGCCTCTGTAGACAAACACTTCTGCGCCTTGACACCTCCTCTTTTCTATTAGCTGGGGAGGGAGCAGAAGCCGCCCCGAAAGAACTGATGACATCAAGTTGGGAAGATTGGCTCTGTAAGCTGTCATCATGCAGTGAACTCGAGTCGCTGTCTGGCACAACAATATTAGAGATTTGCATATTTTCCTTCTCTTTCATAGGACTCCTGACATCACCCGACCCCCCAGGAGAGAGAGCTAGAGATTCCGACAGAAAATCCAGCTTGCGACGCAGGTCAGACTCATTGTGAGATGAACTGAAACCAATGGATGGCGTATTTTCTGCTAGCCTGGCTTCAGATCCCGGGTCTTGTCTGTTGGGAGTGGATGTTAAACCAAACAAACTGAAATATGACTTTCTCAGATTTGGATTTCTGCTGCTCATAGGGTGAGGAGACTGCTTACTGGGATTGTTGGACAAGGTTGGAGACATCCCAGATTTATCGTGTGCTTTGGGAGAACTTATTCGTACCGGACTGGATGGAAAACTACCCGTCTGCATGGCCTCTTCCTGCCTCTTGTGAATGTTGTTCAATTTCTCAAATCCTATGACAGGGCATCGTCCATCAGGAGAAATAAGAATCTCCTCTGTAAAAATTTCACTCCGGCTAACATTAACAACTGGTGAGCGCTGACGAACTTCCTCTGCAGTTAGAGGTTGTAAAACTTTTCTCTCTGATTTGACCAGTGACTGGTTGTTTGAATTCATTGGGCTTGCAGAAGGAGAGGACATCTGTTAGACATTGATAGAATAATTCAATAAAAGGAGCTTTTAAAAACATTTATTTCAAATTGATTTTGGGACATCCACATATTACATACACACTAATGGGGAGGGGACTTTGCATAGGCGTAGGACATAAATAAAAAACCTCAATGTTTTGTAATTATCATCATACTATTTAATTAAGTTTTCAGAAATAAATCGCTAGTTATGGTAAAAGCAATAAATAGACTAGTGAGAACTTTTAATAATATAAGACGGACGTTCGACTTAGTATTTTTCAGTGCGTGTGATGTAATATTTTTACTTTAAAAAACAGACATCAGAGAAAAACGGTGACTGATTTTTTAATCGTGGGGGTGGGGGATTCTAATTTAAATTTGTATGTAGCCAGGGCTGTCCAAAAATTTATGTTTTCAATCCATGAAAATTTTATTTTATATTTACATAATATATATTCATGGCCCCATATACCAATACAATTATTTAAATTTGGTTCAAGCAGCTTTGACCATTACTTTTCGTCCATTAAAAATAAATACAATTAAATCTTAGCATGAATAACAATGTCCCAATAAAGGCTGACAGGCCCTCTTTGAAATACTTAAAATACTCTGACACACTCTACGAAAGCTATATGAGTTCCAGAAGTAAATATTCAAAATAAAATATATCTGTGAAAAGTTGACCTCATGTGTTTGGTCAGACATGTGCACCATCTCTGTTACAGATTCATCAGATTCTCCATGATCAAAGCTGTCATCTAATTCAATTGGTCTCTCTTGATCTAGGCCTGAAGACACTGGCAAATAGAAAATAAAATACTGGGAGGGTATTTTTTAATAAAAATTGCCCATGATGAAAAAATCATTACCTTGAAAGAGACCTATAACATTTATAGGTCAGAAAATTTGTAGTTAAAAGAAAATTTCTCAAACATTTACTTGATGCCTCTGGGCGACCATAAATACAATAATACAAATAAATCTGCACTTTACACAATGTATGTACATATTTGTATGTATATTATATATATGTGTGTATATATATAGAATTGTTAAGCTAGCTTGACGTACAGAATAAAAAAATCAAATCTACCAACCTTGTGTAAATAGATTACTTGGTTTAGGTGCTTTCACCGTATTTCCTGTTGACATGGTTGGGGGATATTTCATCATTCCCTTGTTCCTTTCGTCATATGATACGGGAATATTGGACTCTTGTGCAATCAATGTCTGGGCTTTCTGAATCTGTCACATCAAAAAATGTTTTTTTTTGTTGAAATAATTTTCATGAGATTTTAATTAGTATCATCAGATCCAGCAAATTTCAAATTTTGAAATTTTTTTAAAAGTATATAAAGTTTCATTTCTTCCTCTCCAGAATACTGGAATATTTTGACGGTGAAATGCAAACCATTTTATTTTTTCCTTGGAGAATTTTACCACAAAACGCTTGACCTCACATTTTGCTAGCAACCAATTAAAAAAAAAAAAAAAAAAAAAAAAAAAAAAAAAAACAAATAATAAAAAAAAAAAAAAAAAAAAAAAAAAAAAAAAAAAAAAATTTGCTAGAAACCAATTAAAAAAAAAAAAAAAAAAAAAAACCACAAAAAAAGGTGTTGTTTAGGACGAGTAGAATTTGTACAAAGTAATCAAAACAAATTCCCATTTATTTGGATTAATAGAACAAACCTTATTTTATAATATTGCATTGAACTTATTTTGTTTCTAAATTAGAGAGAGCCTTGTTTATGGGGGAATACAAAAATTAAAGTTCTTAAAGATCTTGAAAAATGCTCAGAACTCCATTAAAAAAAAAAAGACTAGACTGCTCGAAATGCCAACGCACACTTAACAGCTTACAGAGCTCACGATTAACTCCTTGCAATAAACCAATTTTGCAGGGAACAACAACAATTCAGAAGAAGACTTTCAAGACAAAAAACAATATGTGCAATGTAATCAAAATAAATGTCTTATCTTAATTGAAGTCAACAAAGGGTAAAGGATCAATTGACTGAGCCAATTATGTCAGTACTGACCCTCAAATATTTACCTAAGCTCACTACCAGTCTGATTTTGAGGCTTATCAATAGATTTAAATAACTTTTACACTAGGATTTAGAATTATTTTTGGATTTTTGATTTGCCTTCATTAATATGTGTCAACAGGAGCTGAATGGTCAAAACATGACAATTATTGGCATTACTGTGTCCCTATGTGATTACAGCAAAACAAATGAAAGAAGGAAATACAAATTTTATATTATACAATAAACCCGTGATATTTCCACAACTTACATAAATAGAGTAGAAGTAGGGCGTTCATAGATAAGTCGTATATTGCAGCATAACTTACAGCTAACCTTTTCCCCCTTTCGACTGTACAGAAATACAATTTCATCAGTTGATCCGTATATGGGTTATCCAAGTTGTTTAAGAACAGTGTATATCTGGAAGCCCACTGAACTTTTGGACTACCTACTGGTGTGGGAATTAATTGTCTGACATCAAACACGGATTAAATAGACTAATCAAGAAAGTGAGTGATATCACACAAACTTTACTTCCGTCAGTTGAACAACTATTTGAAGAAAAATGCTGTTGTAAAACTAAAAAAAATTTGGATGATACATCCCACGCTCTTCATCACACATAGCTAAGATCAGCTCAATCAGAACCGAAAGATATAAAATTCTTTTGACCCCCAGTTTGTGCGAATTTGCCAGCGTACTCCCCCCGAATTCACCAGTGTGCTCCCTCAGCGGTTACCAAATCTAAATGATCACTAATTAAGTCATGGCTCACTAAGGAAGGTTATTGATGGCTGATGTCTACGGTAGAGAAATACTTTCCTGCACATGGGAAAGATGTTTTTTTTGGTCCTAGTTGGATTTGAGCCTATTCTGCATATTTTTTTTTTGCTGTGTGCTTTATTTTGGCATTTTTTTCTGTCCACCAGCTGAGTGTTTCCATTTTTAGAGTTCACCAATGTTAGTTGTTCGGGAAATCTGCTGTCTGGCATTCTTGCAACATGCCCTGCCCATCTGGCTCGTCCTTTTTGTAGGAGTGTGTGGATAAAGTCAGCTTGTTGTAGTACCTTTGTAATCAGAGAATTTTTCCTGCTACCTTATGCTAAGACATTTACGTAGACAGCATAGGTGGAGATGGTTTTTCTATCTTAGCATATCTGCATATGTATACTCTCATGGTAAATATAAGTACTTAGTTCGGAACAGATATAATTTTGAAATTAAAAAATAAAAAATAATCCAAACCACTTATTTTATTTTGAATTATTTGTTACATACATGCTAACCTGAACCATTTACCTGCTCAGATTAAGGTGTTTTAAAAAGTCTACGATTTTTCAAGGATTTTCAACAAATTCATCATACCAGTAAGTCTAAAAGGGAGCATAAATCCTATTGGGCCATACAAAATGACCTTTGGTATAATGCTTGGATCTAAACATAGAATCTGAGTAAGGTTTGAACAGTATCTACATATTATACTGGTAGGTATTAAAGGAATCCTCACTATAGTAGCTACTTTAAGTAGTAAACCATTATTACAAATAAGTTTTTGTAATAATCTTAGCAAAAACTGTCGTGTCGGGAAGTTCTCTTTTAACTCCTATTAAATTATTAAATATATTTAATATCACTAACAATCAATAACATCTGTTAACACTTGCTAAAACTAAAGCGGGTGTTATTTTCTTCATTGAATAAGTAGGCCCACAGCTAATTTAAAGCCCACATTAGTAAGAACTGTATATAGTATTCTTTAATGTAGACAGCATATGTGGAGATAGTTTAACTGTCTAGCATGTCTGCTTATGCCTTCTCTCATGGTAAATAAGATCTTTGTTGGGAACAGTTTTTATTTTGAACATTGAGGGAAAAAAACCACACAACTTACTTTATGTTGAATGAATTGTTCATTAAGGGCTTGGAGATCTTCCCCTTCATCTTCTGGCTCCTCTTCATCGTCTCTTGTCTCTGTCTGTCTGTACATCAGGTCATGGTCACTGATGCCGAAAATGTCTAACAGAAATAAAAGGAAATATTGTGATGAAAGATTATAATTTCAGATAGGAAAAAAAAAAGGAGAAACAATTGCCATCCAAATAGACACTTAAATATTTAAATAATTGTAATTTTGAATTTTTCTCAACATTTTGGTTTTAAACTAAAATGCCAAATAGGGTGCTCCGTTGATTAAATATTACAAAAGAAAAAAGATTTAAAATAACTTTTACAACCATAGTGATTTGACTTGCATACATTTTCTTTAAAACTATTTCAATTTCGGAAATCACTTACTTAGAATTCAGACTATCTTGTTTCATTATTTTTCAGTCATTTCCAGTTTTTATTATTTAATCAACCATCTCCTGTACTAAACATAATTTACTCATAAAAGCAGCACTTATATTTTTAATGTTTTTAAAAGTAAGTTGCATTATATGGTCAACATTCTCATACACAGCTTAATTTAATTGATTAACTTTGTGCTGGTGAGGTGAGGTAGGGTATAAGTTTATTTGATAGAATTTGTGATGTCAAGTAATTACCCAATGAATATAAGTATGCAATGTGACTATCCAGAGCTTGGTCAGTCTGCCTCTGATTGGCATGCAGTTCTTCCAGCTGTTTCTGGGTCTTGGAGAACCTGGGGTCATCTAATGTGAACAGCTCTTTCAATTCCATTTTGGTGAAGTATCTGAAAGTTTATAACTCTATTTAAATCCCATATTTTTTAGATTTATTTATTTGGTATATAATTGAAGACTACAGGGGAAAACCCACAGTTGTCCACTTTTTCTATTTTTGAGATAAATGAAATTTTGTGTTTGAAGACTTCAGGAGCATTTGATTTTAATTATTATTATTGGTGATTTAAAAGAAAAAAACAAGTGAATCTTTTATTTTCTCCAACTAATTTTGATTTTGTTTTAAAAATCCTTACAATTACGCCTAGCTGGGATAACCATATTTCTTCATCCCTATTAATATGTCCTCTTTTTAATTCTTGCTGTGTTTAGCTTAGCTGAAAATTACAGGTCTGAAAATCATCAATTGGTTTTGATATTCATTGCTAGATAACATCCTGCTAACTCCATAACAAGCAAGAATTATGTACAGAATAAAACAGAACTGTTTCTAAAGTAAGTGGAGAAGTTTAACACTATTTTATTAGGTGGAGAATACACTAAATGTAGTTTATTTTTGGCTTAGTTAGTTTTTAACTTGGATCAGTAAAAATGATAATACCAATGAACCATTAACACTTCAAAATTGGTGGTAATAATCTTCAAGACAAAAACTTGATGCTCTTTGAAATGTCATCTACCTATAGGGATTGTTACTGTCTCCAGTGGTCTGCCTTGTGATGCTGTCCTTAAAGACCTGGCGCCGGTATATTTTTTCCTCTACAGTGCCGCAAGTGATAAGTCTGTAGACGACAACATTTTTTTGTTGACCTATGCGGTAAACTCTGTCTACAGCTTGTGCATCAGTTGCGGGGTTCCAGTTTGGGTCGTCTTTCAGGAAACAGAAATACAACTAATAAGTATTTGTATCATGGTTGCAGTTTAACAAAGAAAACAAATAGCTCTGGATATATGTGTATTCTAATGACAATAGAATCTAGAATATGTATAATTTTGTTATTATTATTATTTTTTTTTTACATTTAAAAACTAACAATATCTTACATATGACTACTCTGTCCGCAGCTGTAATTGTTAAGCCAACACCTCCAACCTATAATAAAGAAGGAAAAAATTTTTTAATTTGGTGGGTCAAGTAATTCATTACATTGAAAGCTGTTACGTTCAAATTTAATGAACTTGACAATGAAAAAAAACTATTTAACTACAAAATATATATTTATATAAAAAACTAGTCTGTACTTCATTGCTATGTAAATATGAATACAAACAATCTTACTATGCGCAGATTAGTTACAATTTTACATCAATACTAAAATTATAAAAAAATCTTACCTGTATAGTTAAAAGGAAAACCGAGTAGGCTGGGTCTCGCTGAAACTTCTGGACTATATCATCCCTCTCCTTCACTTGAGCAATGGTTCCATCAAGTCGAAGCACCTTGTGACCCTAGGAAAGAAATATAAAAATGAATAGTGAGACTTTTCACAAGCTTTTATTTTATTTTTCTTCAACCCTATTTTAACATATGTTAATGTCTTGTTGAACATTTTACGGGGTGGCTTCTTAGGGATATCATGCTGTTGTCTTTTTCCTTTATAAAGATAACAGTCAACGTATACTGAAAAAAATAAATAAAAAGCTTATCATTGTAAGGATATACATTTGCTTCATTTTTATGTTTACAGGTGAAGAAGACTTTTAGCTTGATATTCATTCCGTTATCTTGGTTAAAAGCTTCACCTTATGTCTTTGAACTCAGTTATTGCGTTAAAATTTCAATTCACCCTGTTCTTTATCACTTTTTGGATGATATTCAAAAGTTTCCTGGATTGAGAGAACACCAACGTCTTGCGACCCTCTTGTTTAAAAGTGTCCAGAAGGTCAACCAGAATTTGCATCTTTCCAGACTCATTCACCAGAACTTCATCTGGAATTTGGTTGATCTGGGACACAGCACTTTCATAAGCCTCTGGCTGCTCTAAGTCCTCCTCATTGAAACTGTAACAGGAAACAGTAATTAGGAGGCTGACAAATACAGTCAATTGTGACTCAGAAAACAAAGCAATGGCAATTAAAGATTTAAAAAAATAAAATAAAAAAAAGATTCAGGAAATTAAAGTATTAAAAACATAAGAGATTAATAAAAGATTGAAGAATGTCATTTTGATTCTCCATATAAAAAATTAAAGTTTATTTTTTAAAGAATATTTAAACGTTTAAAGAATAAATGGCAGTAAACATGCTATGGATTAAATATTGTGGTTGGGTGGCAGTGATGTTCAAACGTTTATTCAGAAATTCTACCAAGCTAAATGTCTCAAGATAATTTTATACAGTTCAACACTTGAAAGTGTATTTACTGAAGTTAAAATGCGGTAGCTTGTGACTTAGTTTAATCTTGGGTATTCTTTTTATCTCACAACCACAACAATTTCATCTTACTCATCTCCATCAAGGCCCAGCTGCAAACAAGCTCGTTGGCTTAAAAGTCGTGGGTGATCACAGATTTTCTTCAAGACTGTCAGTGCCACCAGAGGGGATTTCTTGGTCATTAAAAGCTAAACAGATCAAGTTAGAAAAAAGTTTAAAAACCAATAAGGTGATACAAAACAAGATTTAATTTTTTGGGCACATAGCCATTTCCAGCCCGTTCATCTATATCGACAAACTAAAATTATCAACTGAATAGCAAAAATTAGCTAAAAATTCACCTCTTTGACACTGTCCTGGTTAATAAAATCATGATAAATCTTTTGTTGTGTTTGGGTCAAATGTAGCCAAATTACCAAATCATTTTTGCGGGTCATGGAAGGCATTCTAAAGGAAAGGAATAGTGAATCTTTGATTAGAATATAAGTTTAATATCTAAATCAAAACCTTAATAAATAATAATAATTTATTAGATAGATAATTAGTTAAAGACCAACTTTCCCACCCATCTTCATCTCTTTCCAGTTTTCCTGGTAGCTGTAATGTTATTTCTGAGATATTGACCACATTTTTTTTTGGCTGTACCATGATTTGCATGATGGCCCGGTGCATCCTATTCAACATGCCATTTGGTTAGCTACCACACAAACCTGATAATGTCTGTCAGCATACTTGACCTGTAACTTACTACTGACTTAGTCAACATATGTCTGGTGTTTTATTATGATTTTCATAATAAAATAAGCAGTAACCTATTGGAACTCCCATAACACTAAACATGGTTATAATGTTTATATTTCATGTGTTAAATGGATGATCCAAATTAACATCGCTAGTTAGAAAAGAAAACAACAAATAGCAACAAATGAAAATGTCATTAAAAAAAATGTGTTTCAATTAAAAAGTAATAAAATGGTGGGTAAAAAAATGAAAACAAACACTAGGTCTTGGGTGTCATCCTTTCCAGAATTCTTTGACTTTTGTACTTCAGCTTTTGTTCTTCGCAAAAAATATGGCTTGATAATATTTTTCAATGTGTCAGCCATTTCTTGGCCTAATTTCTTCTCAACTGCTGAAGCATCTCGTTCCCTGGCCTGAGAATAAAAGTAATTGGTGTCAAGATTGGTATCTTTATTTTATGCATAAACATTAATAGTATTGGGTAGTAAAATAGTGCAGATCTAAGGCATCTCAAAGATTCTAAAAGGCACTAAACTTTATCGGTATATAAATAGGATTAAGTTTTATTAATTTGTTTTGCTTTACATCACGTGAGACAAAACCATTGCATCTGATTAAGATTTATTTCAGTCCAACCCACTTAAAAGTTTAAGATGAAAGCAATGTAATGGACTGAAACATTCTTACCCTGATAATTGGGGCTTCAAATTCCATTTTGAATGTACGCACTGTTCCTAAAAGAGACCCCTGATGAACATAATCGAAGAGTGACCACAGCTCCTGAACAATTTTAAAATAAACAAACAGTAATCATTTCAGATTCACTTTCATTTATCGACTTAATAAGATGATATCTTTTAAAACTAAGAGATGATGCACCAAGCCTTATAAATGAGGTGCTTCTGTCACTAACATGGCTTGGAAAAGTATTAAAAAACTGAAGATTGTGCCAATGTCGTCAATGAGATATTACTTGATATTGTACTAAAGTTGTCAACGAGACTACACTAACCTTGAGGTTATTCTGTACCGGGGTGCCAGTAAGGATAATCCTGTGTCTCGCAGGAATCAGATGCACACTTTTGGAAGTTTTTGTAGGGTTCTTGATTTTGTGACCCTCATCCAGTATGACATAGTCCTAATAGAAAAAAAGCAGACACATTACCATAGTAATAATTAATTTTAAGGACATGTGGACATTTATAGCAAACATTGTGAAGACAGTTTGGCTGGTTCATTGTGCTTGAAAATTTACTTTAAAAATGTGGTACATGAAAATTGTCTTTATTTAACTCTCTACTGTCTTTAGTGCCCCCACCTTATCGTTTCCCAAATCCCCACCACTGCCTCTTTACAACACCAGACGAAAGCAAGTCAGGCTGATAGACCTGTTTGACGCCATTTCAGGCCATCTAGCAACTAAACTGCAAAAAATTGAGTCTGCTAAAATTTACTGCTGCATTCACGAACAGAATTTTTTTAAAAAGAGAAATCTGTATGTTAACATCTTCTTTGGTTAAAAAGTTATGACAGGTCAAAGTTTGAGATGGCTTTCCTAGTTCATTTGAGACAAGCTGCTAGGCTTACTAGACTAGCAAGCTGAGATAATAAAACAATCAAACAGATCTGAGTAGAATTTATTAAACTTAATGTTTAAAAGTAAGAGTGATAATGACAGAGTTGAAGATATATCTGAAAAAGACAATAAAAATCAATTCTATTACACATCAGAAAATACTAGCCTGCTACATTTTTGAAAATGCAGCGAGGAAACTTCAGACATAACTAAAGTTTATTCTCCAAATAAACTAATCTTGATGGTGAATATAAAATTGCATTTATTTTTGTACTTAATAAAAATTTAAATAACAATGACATTTATATTCGTTTTTTTTAAAAAAACAACATATTTTAATTAGAATAGAGTTATGTTTCTTTGCTTAGGCAGCCAGGCTAGTTTATGTTAAATTTTGTACTTTTTTAATATAAAATGCTGAAAATATACAATGAAATGCCCATTCTTTGGATCAATAAAAGAATATTATCTTTTCTAAGGGTTCTTATCCTTATCTTATTCCCAGGCTACCAAATATTATCAGGGGAAGGGTGTGTGGTTAATTATTAAATTTATAATTTTAAAGGTAAAGCTTTTCAGCAAAAGGGTTATGCATATTATTACACTTTTGAGCGTTTTTAATCAACCTTCGGATACGGGACTGTCAACTAAACAATATGTCACACAAGTAAAAACAAAGAACTCTGACCATACCCGCCCCTTGTTTCTCAGTATGATAAATCCAAGTAGTTTTATTAACCTATAAAAGCAATGTATAATGAGGCTATAAAATTGAAGTATGACTAACTCACCCACACAAACTCCTGACCATGTCGTACAGCAAATGTTTCCTTGGTTGTCATGACCAGGCCATATGTAGTTAAGAGCACTCCACCCCTTGTTCTCACTCTTGCCAGGGATTTTTCTCGCTCTTTCTTAGATCCACCATGAAACTGTAAGACATCAATGCCTGGCGTCCTTAGAATATTAAAAATAAGCTGTTAACATTTTCTATGCACCGAAAAAAAATTAAAATTAAATTATAGACTTATTAATCATAAGATTTTATTTTTTAATTCTTCATTCCTAACATATATTTGCTTTCTACAACATTAAAGCTTTTTGATATTAAACATTAATGTAAATATACAAATACCATTTATTGAACTCTGTGAGCCAGTTAGCCATGACACTTAGAGGAACAACTATCATCACAGAGCTGATTTTTTTCATGTCGAACATTCCAGCCAGGAAGGCAATGACTTGAATGGTTTTGCCAAGACTGATAAAGAAATCATTAGTTTAGGAGTACAATACAACAGAGAAACTGAATTATAATTAGACAAATGATTGTGGTGTGTTATAATGGAGGTATGAGGACAACATAGAGAAAAAACAACAACAAAGATTTATGTGAAACAAAGCAAATCAACTATAGGGTCCAAAGACAGCCACTATCAGCTAACAAAAAATAAAACTGGACGAATTTAACAGGCAATGCAGTTAGAATTACATTGTTTCAATTAAGTGACATATCCATCATTAATATAGTCTCCTCTGAGGCTTTTCCCCACCATAGATTTCTATTTAATCGATTGTGAATTGTTGTATTGCTTAACTGCTAACATATCTTTAAATATATCTTCCCATCTAAATCCGGACCTGGCTATGACAGTGTATACGTATCTGTAGAGCTTTATTGGTAAAAATGGAGTCATTGGTCATGCACAGTACGTTAGTAATTACCCCATGTCATCTGCCAAAATTCCCCCTTTGCCAAGTAGATAAAGTGACCACATCCATAGGACACCCTCTTTCTGATGCCTATACAGATTGTCATGTAACTTAAGATGTAACATGAAGCCTTGTCCAAGGTTTTTCATTCCCCCCTCATTTTCATCATCTCCATCACTCTCATTTTGGGCGGCTAGGAAAGCCTGCACAGGAGAACAATGTAAAATAAATATATTAACACTGGATAGTCTAAATTCTGTTATATTTAATAAATTTAAGTGGCTTGAAAGACAAAGATTATTTTCTTAAGAAATGTGTTTCTCTGGAGCCAATTTGGAATAATCTATGAATATATGAGCCTTTTATTATTGCTTTCTGTCTGTGTGGTATGTACAGGAAATAACAGAGCAATCTAATTCATTGGATGTTACTTTAACTTAAAGAAAGAAAAAAAAGATTTATGTCAACACTAATTTTAAAAAATTATTAAAACATAAAACCGACTGATATTTCAAATGTAAATGATCATATTATTCAACCTAAGTTAATAGTCTAACGATGTGTTCTTAGCATTTTACTGCTATTATAGACATTACAATCTTATATGATGCTTGGCACCTAAACAATAATATGTAGAATTCACTTGTAATCTTATACAAAACAAAATTAAGGTATACCAGCACCAATGTAACTGCAAACAGTAATTTCATTACCTTCATTTTTTCAATGCGTTTCTTAAGCTTATCACTATAGTGGATTTCAAGTGCCTTCTCATTCAATAATATTGCCTTTGCGATTTCCCCATCTTCAGCTAACCGTCGGGCTTTGGTGATGAGGTCCATAAATTTCTGTCGCAGCTGTGAATCGACACCAGACTCTGAGCCCGTAGATGCAGTTCTTGAACTTTCTTGAGTATTCAAAACATGCAATTGTTAAAGATAATGTAGTCATGTAGTAATATTAGGCAAAATGAAAAAAATATTAAAGTTTAAAATACTGAATGACAGTATTTTTATTTTAATACATTTAAAATCACAACAATACCACAAAAATATAAGTAATCACTTTAAAAAAATTAATTTTAAAAAAAGACAGCTTGCCTTCATTGGTTATGTCAGTGCTTTCATCACTGTCATTCTTTCTCAGAGAAATGCTGGCCAACTTTTTCTCCATTACCAAATTGTCCAAATCCATCTTTAGTGGTTGATGGTAATACTTTATGAAACCTTTCTCATACAGTTTATATTATGAGCCTTAAAAAAAAATGTAAATTGAAATTTAAAACGTTATATTCAGAAAAAAGAAGCCACATTAAATAATATCTTAACAATATTTTTTTTTAAAGTTTCAAATGATATATTATGGGGAAATAATTACTTGTTTCTGATAAATTTAGGACATGATTAATATGCTTAAATGTTTATCTTTAGGGGGTTTGTAGTATTGAATGTTTAGTGACTTTATTTTTATATAGGTCTTTAATTTTTTAATGAACTTTTAATTTAAACTAGTTCATAAAACTTAAATACAAAACACATTTTTTTAATAAGATGGATATCTCCAGAAAAATTTCAAATGAAATGACACACACAAAAATTTTAGAGAATAAATTGTTGCCAAAACTAGGGATGGCCAAATAAATGAGACATAGAAATCTGATTTTAAATCATTATTCAATATTGTTCATCTTTATATTGACCTTCAATGAAATATATTACCGGTATCATAAAGTAAGTTATTTTTGGTATGCTCATAAGCTGCGATCACCTGTGAATAAAATTTTTAAGTTTGGAAATCACTCGAGTCATCCTGTTTAACTTCACATTAGATAAAGTTATACACAATTTGAACTACAACATGCATAAGACATGACATATGAGCACTAGTGAAATGATCACAAACTTTTTCCAGAGAAACATTACAGAGCCAAAGCTCCCAGAACCACAATCATCAGGCTCAGGTACATTGTTACATTGTATAGCAAACCATTGCAGTACCTGGCATATAGACATAGGTCTAGTGCAATGAATGACATAAAATCACAAAAGCATTAAGATGCCTCATTTAAGGCTGGATTAGTAGAGGTGAATGAAGCAAGGGCCAAGTATACGTTTGGTTTGGTAAAGTCATGTAGGTGCTAAGAGACATACAATACAATTATGTACACACTAGACAGCTCCGCTCATCCGATAGTGGCAAAATATAGATACTGTGTGTTCGCCTTGAGACTTGCAAAAAGCGCACTTTTGCATTTGCTGGCCCAACAATTTGGAACGCACTTCCAGTCGCTCTCAGAAATAGCCAGACACTGGAGTCCTTTAAAACCAATTTAAAAACACATCTATTTCGCAAACACCTTCTGGGGTGATGCTATCTACCATCTTTTTCAAGCTAATGTATATTGGCTTGTGTTGCTTATGGTCGAAATGGGATGAAAGACTTTGTCTTGGTATGCTCGCATGTAGTTTTATATTGTTGCGTCTCTTTTTTAAATGTGGTAAATTTTAGATTGTTTTTTATTTCTCTTTTTAATATGGTTGACTTTGTACCGCGCTTCGAGCTTTTAGGGATGAAGCGTGTTTTTCAAATAAACTTTATTATTATTATTAACATCAAAATATAAAAAACACAAACTGCCTTGGAGTTTCAGTTAGAAAGTGAATACATTCAGCATTCAAATATATAGGAATAGAACTAGGAGTGTTGAGCAACCATAAATGACTTAAAGTGTTAAAATCTAACAATCTAAGATTAAGAATTAGGCAGTGTCTACACGTTCGGTGACCGGACGAATAGCGCGGAAGATATTCTTCCGGCGGGCATGTCACGTGACCGCCGGACAACTAGTATGTGTTAATCCGGCAGATATGTCATGTAACAAGACGTCGCCGGCAAATAAAAAAAAGAAAAAGTCTGTTATCTTGGTTTAAATATCTTATAAAAGCTCTACCTAGTAGTATAAATTTAAAATAAGAACCAAAGAAAATAAGACCAATATTTGCCAATAAATAGACCTACTGTAAAAAAAGTTTTATTTTAGGCTATTAATATGGCGTGAGAAGTAGGCTACCCCAACAGCGCACAATATTAACCCTATATTAACCCTCTGGAGATGTAAGGGCCGATCTATCGGCCCGAGGTACACTAGCGAGAAAGACGTCAAGTCAGAGCCGTCGGCCTGATAGATCGAGCCTCACGATTGGCTGGCTTGGCGTTATACCAGCGAATCAAAATTATTCCTACGTATTTCTGCACATCCCGGCATTGTAATGGCGGCGGTCGTTGAAGGTGAACTCAATATATTAGTGCGCAGGAATTTTTTTTGTGTGTGTATAGTTACATCGTGAAATTCGAACATGTCTGACAGTGACTCTGATCAAATTGTGCTTAGTGATTTATATATTCTTGCAGTGAATCTGACACTGAAAATTATGAAAACAACCAAATAAAGACTTTCAAATTGAGGGTAATGCTAATGTTGTGAACTTTAGGTTTATTATTCCTAGTATTAGGGGTCCTCAAATGGGGCAGAGATGACCCCTCTGAATTTTTAGACAACTCAAGTCCTATAAATAAGGCATAAGCACCCCATTTGAGTACTTTATGCTATTTTTTACACTAAATATCACTCAATTGTTTATGAGAGAGACAAATAGATATGCAGACAACTTTCTCAGTAACATCCAGCTTAAGATAAGGTCCCTAGGTCATAAATGGGGGCCTGTTACAGTGTGTCTGTAACAACTGAAAAATAGGGGGTGGGGTGGAAAAGGAGTAGAACCATGTGCCAGAGGTGTCTGAAGGGCCTTTTCCCCCCAAAAAAAATAAGTATTAGGACTTATTCAGGCTTCATCCATCAAAAAATTCACACAATTGATACAAGTAAGTCATGTTTAATCTAGGTTAACAAAAAATTACACGCATAAATTATGCAAACAAGGGTAGTTCATTTGCATAAATTTTGATATTTCAGTTTGATTTATAAAGATTGTATTAGTTCATTCAATTTCCTACAAGAATATATATAGTTTTACACATATTAAGGGAATAGTTTATTTCTTACAAATTTTTTTGCAATTCAAGTGTCGAGCTCGTAAAAAGTGCTCAGTCTTTTTGGCACATACACCCCGAAAAGGCTCCGTCTCCAGAGGGTTAAGATGTACCGGTAGGGTAATTTCTTTGAGAACTTTCTACCTCCCCGCTTTAATTATTTATCACCCTCACTATCATTTCTTATTCTGATAAGTGATAGACAACGTTGCTGCAACCAAGTACTGGCATATGTGCAACGGTTTGGGAAACGATGCAGCTATCCTTTATATTATTTATCCTTTCTCTCTCGCTCTCAGTATTTCTTCCTACTTCTTTATTCTTTTGTATGCGTTGCTCCCCCACTCCCCTTATTTCTTGAAATGAAGTGTTTACTTGTCGCCCCCATGCATCTCCAACGCCAGTTTTATGATAGACTATTAGTGGTCACGTGACAAGGCTGGACTGGAGGACAGATATCTCTCCCAACTTTGTCAAGGCAGTCATGTGACCTGGCCGCCAGACGAATATCTCGAGAACTTATTCGTCTGGAGTCTGGTAACAGGACATGTAGACACTTCGTAAGAATTAACTAGCAGGTCTGGCACACTTTATTTTTAATAAGTAAAGACTTCCTGCTTAAAGACGTACCTACCCTAAGTACAAAGTCTAAAGACTAACACTAACTACTAACTGCACTGTAACAGTCGATCTTCCTTTTGAAAACAGAGTTGAAGTAGGCTATTTTACTATTATAGTTTTTGGGTCTAAGCCTAAGCGCCTATGAAATCACTGAAATTTACAGTACTCAGTGTGAGTGTGACTTCACTCCACTCTTCTTCTGTAACTAGTGTAACTCATCTGTCACTCACTACTAATTTAGTAGGCCTACTTACTAGTATGTATTTTTTATGTCACTTGTGTCGTGTCAGTATAAACTCAGTCTCAGTATTCATTCAATCTTCAGGCTCTCTCACTCTCCAATTAACCTTGTGTGCTATCTGCATTATGTCTGGAAAATCAAATATGGGAATTTTTCATCAGTATTGCATCCAAATTCTCTAACTGGTCAATACCTAACTTTGGTCAGTATTAATTTTAAGTCGCAAAAGTTTTCAAAATATAAAATTGAAGCAGACGACGTAAATTTGATTCTTAGCGCGTCAAATTGTGGGAAGGAAGTAATATGTGGGTGTGTTTACTAATGTCTATCAGAACTATATACGTGCGTGATGATAGACAAAAATCGATCTAAAATATCGATTTAGCGTTTTCGATTTATAATTATTGATTTGTAGATTTGATCATCCATATACCTACTTCAAAAGCATTAATTTCAATTTGGTTAATTTTAAACAATGGAATCGTCAAATATAGTATTTATTAGAAAGTAACTTGAGTAGAGGGCTTGACTTGAGATACTTTTTAAAAGGCTATTAAAGGGATTTATAGCTTCGGCCTAGGGAAGAAAAAAAAGGGAGTGGGAAATTCACAGTGAGTAGTAATGATTTCAGAACTAGTAATTTCTTTCATTCCATTGTACGTTTGCTCCAATAAAAACTATGTCATCGAATAATGGAGATAGAACATCGGCCACAAATAAAAAGTTAGCCAACTTAACTTAGCAACAGTAATTTCGGCCAGTAATAAGTAGGTCTACATTGCCACTCTCACAGAAAATATAATCGGTTCTATTTTAAAAAATTGATGGCATGCAGCTCCCGAAATATTTTCTTAACACTTGAAATTAATAAATATTCCTCTTCAGTCAAAAAAGTTATACGCATTCACTTCGTGACTTTCGATTTAAACAATATATATATTTTTTTAATGAATCGAACAGACGATTGTTATTTTATTCACTATTCACACAGTGGTCTGTTCGATTTCTAGTGGAATGTTTCTTAATGGACAGAACTGCTATTTAATATCGGATAACTAAAATCGTCATGCCCTTAAGGTTAATATATAGGAACAGAATTGCCACCCGGGGCGGATCGCGCCCTCCGACCCTAACTTCCTACGTGTATGCTCTCTATAATGACTACTAATTTGTGTGGGTTTTTTTAATGTCATAATGACATTAAAAAAACCCACACAAATTAGTAGTCATTATAGAGAGCATACACGTAGGAAGTTAGGGTCGGAGGGCGCGATCCGCCCCGGGTGGCAATTCTGTTCCTATATATTAACCTTAAGGGCATGACGATTTTAGTTATCCGATATTAAATAGCAGTTCTGTCCATTAAGAAACATTCCACTAGAAAGCATACTATACTAGTTCAATTAATGGAGCACATTTAATGAATGGCCTTAAACGTTCATCGTTGCCTGTATGAGAGGAAAAAAATCATTGCCAAATGTCTTTATCATTCTTTGTGTCATTTAGCGCCAACGTCTTTTTGTTGACATTTTCAATTACTCATACATCGCTGTGGCGCTACAGGCTTTGTAGGGCTTTGACCTGGATCACCACTTCCTACCACTCAGTGGATTCCCAGCTGCTGTAGATCTTTTTTTTCACATCAATCATCCATCCAGGTCTGCATTTGAGCCGTTTACCTCTGGGGTTTTGGTGGTGCACTCTCTTCACTCCTCTTGCGACTATGGGTGGGTCTTTGTAAAATTGATATATCTCTTGGCCTAGTCAAATTCTCCACCCATCATCGTCTAACAGTGGATTAAATATGTTTCTGTAGATTTTCCCTCTCCCATGTATTGACTAGGTTCTCTGCTTTTCTGGTAAGGGACCAAGCCTCACTTGCGTATCTTACCACTGTCTTATTATAGCTGTGTAGGCCTATATGGTTTTCTTTGCTCTCATTGAAAGAGTTTTGCTTCCACATAGCTTTTGTTGGCTGAAATAATAACGGTGGCCTACTGTGCTAATTTATTTCATCTCTGTCATTATTTCATTGTGCTCATGGATTGTACATCCTAGACATTTTGAAAGTAGACACTCTCTCTCAAAGGTGTGGTTGCTTATTTTGATATTATTGTATGCGTGTTTCGTGACATTACTATATTATTTTGTATTTCGTATTAAACCACTTTTCGGTAATATTTTGACACACTTTTATAAGCTTGTAAAGTATAAGTTAAAAAATATATTTTAAAGACGTTCTTTCTGCTTGCAAATCCATGAGGGTTGCCCGAGCATAATTTTCTTACGAGTGATGCTGATGGGTAAATTACACGGGACCCTACTCGCTATGGTTGGTCGGCTGCTTCAACTGACCAGAGTGGTTAATACAGAGAGTGTGTTTTGACGACTATTGGAATGTTTATTTACAATAAAGGATTGTCTCACTCCCCAGCTTTGAGGATTCCAGAAAAACTTTGCTTTGGCCACAATGTTTCATACATCTTCTTGGGGAAGAAGATCCAGATTTAAATTTGCTGAGGCCCTAATAAGGTGTGTGTATGATGGGGGTAGCTGGCATCACGCTTATTTAGATCTGCCTCCTTTTGCATCCTAGGTTTGGGATATGTCATGGCTGAGTTCAATATAACATACATTCAGAAATTATATCTCTATAATTAAGTGGGCTTTTTTTTTTTTTTTTCTGAAAAAAGCTCTTTCACCAAATTTTGTAGACAGAACATCGTTCATGGATAAAAAGTACATAAAAACAATAAGCTCTAAATTATTGACATATTATGACATCACTTCCGACATCAATCATAACATTTCTACTTGCAAAATAATCAATAAAAACATGAACGTTTGATATTAGTATTGAATACGGAAATAAATAAAAATCATGACATTTGGAAATTATTACTTCACAGTATTCACTTAAAGAGGATGGTATCAACACATACTACGTTATACCTCAGAGTGTCGGAGGCGAAAGAACTTCTGGCAAAAGACTTGTAAGTTATAACAAAACTTAGACTTTACATTTAGTCTTCTTATCACTTATCTTATCACTTATGACATGACTTTACTACTAATTTACTTTTACTAACTTTTACTATTTATACTATACACTTGGGTGACCAAACGTCCCGTAAAAACGGGATCGTCCCGTTTTTTTCAAGTTTGTACCTGTTGCCCTGAAAAAGTCTCCCTGGACGCCTAAATGTCCCGTTTTTTTTTAGCCAAACACATTTTTTAATCACTAAAACTTCCTAATTTATAATATAACTTCAAATAATATTTTGGCTAGCTGTGTAGCCAGTACAAGTAGTGATGTGGGCTCGCGTGATGGCTGCACCATTCCCTCTCCACCACAGTGTCGCTGCCAAAGATCTTATATTATATGTAAATTTGTACCGAGAGACACGAAACTTGAAGCCGCAAGGGGGGGGGGGAGGATGTAACTGTGCAGAAGACAATTTTGATTCCACGACGGCTACGTGTAAGTGTAATGTGTTAATCTTATGTGTGATCCCTACTGGCCTGTTCTTGTCAGAGTAACAGATACCGAGAGACACGAAACTTGAAGCCGCAAGGGGGGGGGGGGAGGATGTAACTGTGCAGAAGACAATTTTGATTCCACGACTGCTACGTGTAAGTGTAATGTGTTAATCTTATGTGTGATCCCTACTGGCCTGTTCTTGTCAGAGTGACAGGTGTTTATTTTGGGTGTTGAACTTTATTTTTTTATTTTATATTATCTTCTCATGTAAAAATAATTATGCCCAAGCGTCAATGTAAGTTTATGGATGAGTATTCCAAAGAGTGGAACTATATTAAAAAGGGACGCTATGAAAGTGAAACCAAGTGCACAGTTGGCAATAATGCTTTTAGTATTGGTCATGGCAGACGTTCAGACATAAAACAACACATCACATCAGTGAAACTTAGGAAAAGACTGAGTGCCCCAAGTAGATTTCTAGGTTAGATTTCATAGTTAAAATGAGCATATTTATTTCAATAAACAGTTCCCGGCTGAGGCCCGTTTTTTCCAAATCATGATTTGGTCATCCAAATAGTCACCCAAGTATACACTATACTTGAATTTGTTATATTATTTGAATGATACAATTTTGAGCCAGGGTCGTGCCAAGGAAAAGCTGCATGAAGGTGCCCCCCCATTTTTCCCTGTTTCAAGGGGGGAAAAAATTATTATCATATGACATTTCCTTTAATATTTATTTATTTATTTATTTATTTATTTAGGCATTTTTATATAGCGCTTATCATAAAGCTCTAAGCGCTTTACAATTATTAAAACATGTAAACTAAGTAAATAAAAATGAGACACTAGGATAGTATCTACTATACTATAGAAACAATGAAAATGCGAATATTTACCCAAAGCAAAGTGAGTTATAAACTTTGGTTAATTAATTTTTGTCCCTTTTTTTTTTTTTTAATCAATGAATTAATGTAGGTCTACATAGAACAAATTATTATTTTTCAAAATCTCCTATGACCAGCTCATAAGTCCACCCCATTTCTTACATGTACCCTTACACTTGTTGATATAGACCTATATGCCTATAAAAACTATATGCCTATATATTTAATATATTTTTTTATGTTATATATATGTATTGTTTGTGGATAATTTACAATTTGGACTCATTCCTAAAGAAGGAGCCTGGTACATCTGCCTCCTGTGCCCTCCCTCGCACAGCCATACACACTAGTCATAGTATAGTCTATATATTTTATAGTATATATATATATAGTATATAATATATATATAGTATATATATTTCTAGTTAATGCATAATGGCTGTGTTGCTTATGGTTGAAATGGCTAGAAAGACTTTGCCATTGTATGCTTGTACTTAGTTTTTGTCGTGTTGCGTTTGTTTTAAATGTGGTAAACTATAGATTTTTTTTTTTTTTGACTTTGTACCGCGCTTCGAGCCTTTGGGGATGAAGCGTGTTTTTGAAATGAACTTTATTATTATTATTATTATAGTCACTTATTTTTTACTTTTGCTATTTTACTTTAGACTTCAGAGTTTAAACTTAAGTCAGTCTCATCACAGTGCAGTGGCGCAGAGTCAATGGCCCCAAAAAGGCTCAATAGCACCTTCTGCTAGGCAAATGGCCCACAGTGCAATCCCATAATACTAATGACTAATGATAGTTATCAAACCCTATTTCATTTGGTTCAAGGCTAAGGTGTCCACACACTAAACCTGACTTCTAAATGACAAAGAAAGTTATTAAGAATCTGGCCTATCAACCCTTTAACTTTCATTGGTAATATTGTAGTGCAATACTATTATCAAAATGCGAATATGTCAACTGTGTGTTAGTGTTGGGTCAGGGATGAACTGGTGAAGGAGAGGCAGTATGCCCATAATTGTCCCCAGTCCCTACACTGCCAATGACAATGGCTCATTGTTCAGTGATATACCAAGTCTTTAAGAACATTTCATTGTGTTCAACAGTGTTTTTGGCTTCCAGCTGTTAATTAGACCCAATTAATTAAATGTATGAGTGAGTTTAGTGAGTCAAGTCTTAAATTACAATTATGAATTTTATTTATTGCTACTTATTCATTGTAAGTTTAGAGTACCTTGGATCAAAGTTGGATGAAGCCTTAACTTAAGCATAATTGATAATGTACATATGTATTCATTCTTATTCTTTCCAAGCAATGGCAAAAGCGATCCTTACTGTGTTATCAAAGTTGACAATGTTGTCATAGCCAGGTAAGTTACAGTTGCAAAGTAACCAAATGCATTCTAGACATGTATAATGGCAAGATGTAAAAAGATAAGTTTCTTACAAAAGGATTGATAATTTATTGGTCAACTAAAAGATAACTAAATGTTTTTTTAAATTACTTTTTCAATTCTCATTTATCTGGTGAATCATAAATTTTGCACAATAAAATCTTTCTCTTTCATTATGCTTCTTTGATATTCAGTGGGATGAAGGGCACATGTCCTAATGAGCACTGGATCTGATTGATGATATTTAGTGGAGAAAAAATGTTTGTTTGTATGCAGCTGATTACTCTCAAAGTTTAGAAGTTGTATTTTTTTTCTATAACTAATTTTCTTAAATAATGTCGTTTTTTTTTAAAATTTGGTTTTCCTGGGATTCTACTGGTTGCGGGACATGGGGGAGAAATAATGATGTATAAAAAAAGTATGATTTAACAAAAACAACTTATTCTAAAATGTTAATCAGTAGAAAAATTGATTGAGAATTTTTTTTAACGATCTAGATGTCAATTTTGATAGGTCATCAGGTGTGGTCAATGGTTTTATTTAAAGTCTGTAGTAAAACTTGTAGTTTTGTATTTGTTTTAAAAACTTTATGCACTAACACCAAAATGCACATTTGGAGATATGTTAATCTCATGAGCTATTCAAAGGTATTATTCAAGTTTATTTTTCACTGTGCATGAAAGCAATCCTTTTAAAAAAAGAACATTAGTAAGTAGATAGTATGAGAGATGTGGACATTAGGCTTTGTGTTTTTTAAAAAATTCATACCATGGTTGACCCGGCAAAGTGGTGTTATGAGTAACTGTTCAAAATGCTTTTCTTTTGTGTTTATCAGCATCAGTTTAGAGAATGAAATAAATTTCTCTTGTGGTATTTTAAGAATTTACTTTAAAATATCCAGCAGTAGCTTTATCAGTTCTTCAATTCAACTTGTGTTAAATTGATTTTTAAACAAACTTCTTTTTATTATCTTTGTTGATATTGTATCATAATCTGAAAGAATAGGTTTTCAATCAAATATTTTCAGCTTTATTTCTTTATAATTTTTTATTTCATTTTTATCTCATAGAACAGCAACAGTTTACAAGACTCTTGACCCACTTTGGGGAGAAGAGTTCATCCTCCACATGCCCAGTGGCTTTCAGATGCTTAGTTTCTACATCTATGATGCTGATAAAGTCAGGTTTGTTACTTAACAGTATGCTGATTTTATTATGCTGATGACCCTATTCAACCTTTCCTTTCTTTGTTATGTTGGAACTTGTATTGTTTATAAAAAATATAAAAAATCTGTTTAACATTACAATTTGAGAGATGTAAACGTTCATTATAAACATGAATTTCCCTGTCACCATACTTTGGTCTTACTTTAAATAAAATTAATAAGTTGTTTGAAATCAATCATAACTATTTAGAACTTAATGAACATTAGCAAATATCTTTTGATATTTAATTATTATGTTACTTGAAATAAAGGGACCTGTCTTTTTTAAATAAATTTAATTGCTATGATTCAATCTCATTAATCATATATAACAGATATGTGTTTTTTTTTTAAACGCAAGAAATTCAATTTTATTTTTGGGGTGTGGGGGGTTGGTTTTGATACAGATCCCTTCTAAGTGCATGACATGATTATTTCTTGGTGTCTATAATATTATACAGTGTAAAAAAACAAAACACATTGTGTCTTTGTAGTTGTGTTGATTTTTGTAATCAGCATTTCCCTTTTAATATTAATTAAAATAGATTATTGTATTAACCTAATTTCTGTAAACTCTACATATTAATTTTTTTTTTTCATATAAGAGGAATCCATTATATAATTCCCTTTAACATTTATTGAAATAAATAGCCAGACTCTATTGGATTCATAAGACATGGGTTCATAAGAGAATATATTTGTCATATAACCATGTCACTTTAAATATAAAAAAATTAAATAATTTATTCACAGTCAGAGCAAAATCACTTTAGCATTATAATTACTCACTAGCATCCTTTGTGTTGATTCTTTTGTCCTGAGAAATAGTGTACTCCAGTCTTTGCATTTGAGAATTTCTTTTTAGTGTAACATTTATCTTAACCAAATGGACGGAATGGAAAATTTACTGAATTTTCCCATTTCTTGGATTGTATGACCCATTTATTGATATTGTCATAACTTTCTGATGTTTTTCCTGTTTCTTTTTTTCCTCCACAAATCGTTTGTGTTTGCCTCCCCTTTCTTGCTTTATGCTGATGTTCCCTTATTGTAGTAGGTGAGTATCTCTTTGTGCTGTTGTTACTCTAGCATTTAGTGATTGGTCACTAATTTTAAAAAAGGTCACTGTGGTTTTATTTCTTAAGCCTTGAAGCACAGTATTACATTTGTAATGGTTGAAATATTCTGATTCTCATTTAACTCAATAGTCTCTGCATGAAAATCACTCAGCATGGTAGAATGCAAGTTATATAATATTACAATTTAAACAGTCACAATTAATCTGATTTGCTTTGACTCTCTGCAATATGAACACTGGAAAATGATTGTATCAGTTAATTTTTTTTAGCATGCTAAATTTCACCATTTACTTGATTCAATATGCTTGTTGAAATGAAAAATACAACTTGAAAATATATATATATTTTTTTACCAATATTGTAAATTGTTAGTTATTTACATTTTTAGCTTTAAAAAATTTGCACAAAATGTGTACACTGATAACATTTTAGATGTTTTTGAAACACAGAATTTACTTTGCTGTTGCTGTAACCACATATCATATGAATGTTTACACTGCAGTAACCACATTATCATATAAATGCTTATAGTTGTTTCCCCTCCGAATCAACAGAATTTCGAAATTTCTAATTAATTTTTACCCATAACTTATTAATGTCTATGCACATACTTTTTTTTACTGAATTCATTTAAAGTTTCCTATAGACACAATTAATTTAATATTAAAACATAATTTTTATAAATAACATGGTAGGCTTTCATTTTTAAGACAATAAGATATTGAAAGTTATAAGTTTTTAATGAAACATATGTTATACATACTAAAGAGTACTTACATTTTTTAAAGTCAAAGGATACAGTAAAAGTTAAAATCTAACAATTTGATGTTTATTGGGACTAAGTGAGTTTCATGTGGCAATGAACCAACTTGAACTCTATCATTCTGTTCAGTGGTGATGACATCCTTGGGGTCGCTTCAGTCACTAGAGACTACATGTATGAAAACAAAAATCCTAAAGGTAAAATAATTGTTTTGTTAAAAAAAAAAACAATTTGGTTCTCCGAATGTAACAGCATTTGAGTGATTCCTAAGTGTTATTTCTGTTTGGCTAGAAGAATTCAAGATATTTTGAAGGTAACTTTTTAAAATAACTTGTGCAATTCTAGGAACTTGGTAAATATGATTGGGCAAATTTTCACAGTTGATATAGGAATAAATCAAACATTTTAATTTATGATTTAAATGAAACAAACCATCAATTTGAGTAAGCATGAATGATAACTTTTGATAGCGTCTTAAGAAAATAGCTTTAAAAATGCAATGTCAATAACTCTCATTACTCAATGGTGTTGGTCGATGTAGTAAAAAAATAGGGGAACAAGATATGTGTAGTCTCGCCTTTTCTTTTCAAGCCTAAACACATCTCGTTCCACTATTTATTTACTTTACATGGCATGAAGGCATTCACTCAGATATTATTCTTTATTTGTCATTGTAATATTATAGTTAAAAAAAAATCCCTGGTTGAGAAAGTTGCCTTAACTCCCTTTACTCATGATTTATTTAAATACATAGACTACATCTTTTTTTTCCCTTACAAAAATAAAATTAAAAAAATAAAATTATTTCAACTTCCTGAAAATGCTTTTGGTCACAACATCCATTTTAGCTGAATGTTACTGTGCATCAATGTGATTCATACTTGTCATGCCGCCAGGTCTAGAGACATGGCTTTCCCTGCAAAAAGCCAACAAAGATTTGGAAATCCAGGGAGAAATGTTGCTGGAGTACGGCATTCGGACATCTGAGGCCACAGGGCAGTCGTTTGTTTTTGTTACAGTTATGGAGGGGAGGTAAATCTACTTGACAAAGTGATTGGCTCTTTATTTAGTGATGGAAATATATTATCTCATTTTATACTTATACCGCATTTTAGGTGACATAAAAAATGGATAACTCGCTTGGGGTGTTATATTTCAGAGTGTTTGTATCTATTGATCTAAATTACTCGGAGAGTGTCAATACATACCCACCAATATCAACTGATTTGATATGTCATAATTATAATGTGGTCATTTTGTGAAAATGTCTTTTGTGTAAAGAACATTTACCTGTGTGACCTGAATTTTTCTCATCCCGACAGAGACCTGGCAGCTAAAGACAAGACGGGATATTCTGATCCTTATGTGACAGTCACATGTTTTGATGAAACAAAAGCAACATCAGTATGTGTTGAAATGCTGGAATATAATGTGTGGCTGGGGATGACTGACTAATGTGTGGTTGGCGATGACTGACTAATGTGTGGCTGGGGATGACTGACTAATGTATGGTTGGCGATGACTGACTAATGTGTGGCTGGGGATGACTGACTAATGTGTGGTTGGCGATGACTGACTTATGTGTGGTTGGGGATGACTGACTAATGTGTGTTTGAATGACTGATTGTTGTGTGGTTGAATGACTGAGTAATGTGTGTTTGAATGACTGAGTAATGTATGGTTGGAATAGTTGACTGTATGTTTGTATGAATGTATAATGTGTGTTTGAATAACTGAATTTATGTTTGAATGTCTGAGTAATGTATGGTTGGAATGACTGACTAATGTGTGTTTGAATAACCTACAGTATGTTTGAATGACTGACTAATGTGTATTTGGAATGACTGACTAGTATGTTTGAATGACTGACTAATGTGTGTTTGAATGAGTGACTATGTGCATTTAAATGACTTACTAATGTGTGTTTGAATGACTAACTAATGTGTGTTTAAATAAATGTCATCTCAGAAACAGAAGAAAACCAGATTCCCAGAATGGAATGAGACCTTGGAGTTTCTATTACCCGAGGACACCTGCATTGCCGACCTTAGTGTCATCGTGACAGTGTGGGACAAGGACAACTTCAGCAGTGACGACTTTATGGGGCAGGTGAGCTTCGCAGTTGAATAGTCCAATACATGTTCTTGTTGCAAAGATGGTTTTATTTCCGGCCGTGGTGTAGTATATCCATTGGTAGCTCTGATGTTATATATTCCAATGGTTTCTGCGCTGTGATGTATTTCAAATCATTGAGGCAGTGCATTTTAATTTGTTGCTGTGATTGGCAGTGACTGATTTTGTATTGTCATTATAACGATGGCTGTTCCCATCCCACAGATTCATCTTGACTCAGAGGATGTGACCCACGGTACAATAAGAAATTGGCACGCTGTTGCCAGAAGACCCACCAGTGACCGATGGGCAAGGAGGGCCAGGTGAGTCTTTGGTGTCTCAACAGGTGAGACACTTGTAGTTTCTGGTGGTTTTAAACATAAACTAGGGGAAGTTTTTCTCTCTATGCTGCAACATAGTTTTGTTTATTAATAAAGCTCAACATTTGTCAACTGTTTACTACTTAATTAATGTAGTGTGTATAAGACCTGTTCTGTAGATGAAGTCACTACCTAATAAGCTTCTGTATTTGGCCACTTCTTCCAACTCATTCGCTATATACATTAATGAAATAGGTAAACTGAGGAACCGCCAAATGTTTATATTTATGTGGTATCTGTGAGACTTTGTGGAGCCCCACATTTTAGGTCAACAGCAAAATATGAATGAACCAGAGATAGAACCGATTCAATGTTATTCTAAACAAAAAAAAATACATACCATTTTAAAATCAGGCAAATAGAAAGTTTTTAAAAATAGTATTCATTTTCATTAGTAACATGTAAAGAATTTTTTTTGGGTAGAAGGAGGCAAATTCAATTTTGTTAAATTAAATTGAAACAAAAATGTAACAAAAATTACATTCTCTTCTTAAAAATTGTAAAATTTCAGCCGAGTGGACAGGGGCAAGATTCGGGTCAAACTCCAGTTACTTGAAGAAATCGTCCTTCCATCATCCTGTTACAGACCACTCAATGAACTGCTGGCTGATGCTGTTAAGGTAATTTTTTACGACTGTCCCTGTGCTCTCTGCTGTCGAGGCTCATCTCTTACACCTGATACGGAATAACCAGTCATCTGCTTTCTTTCTTTAAAGTGATCACTTGTAATCTGCCGCTGGAAGTAAGAAACACTTAGAGTGCACCGGTACCAACAATGACATTTAGTGATACACCAAATTTTTTTGTCTTATGGAGACACCAACCAAACAATGAATACAAATACAACACTGTTGTTCAGTGAACATCTTGCACACAGCAGACGTGAGTTGAATGATAATACATTTTAAGGAAATGAAGACAAATTGCTCACCAGCAAGTAAAAACAATAATTGTTTCCAAATCAGTTGGCTCAATAACCCTAATATATTCATATGACGTTTTGCAATTTGAGCCTTGTTTGTCAATTGGGGTTACATTCTCCAAGTATAAATATTTCCACTTAGATTTTATCCTTCATAACTTCTTCCTTTCTAATATCATGACGGGGGGTTTCTTATCAAATCAGTCCTTTCCTTCATCTGGATTCATACAAATTTATCGAACATATTTTAGTAGCTTTAAGAATAATATCCATCCCAAGCTGTCTGTATCATCTAGTCACCTGGTTTTTATCAATCCATGATCTCTAACATTCAGATGCCAACGACACCTCACAGCCGTGACCTCGGCCATCTCCTCTGGGACATGCTGGAACAAGACCGCACCATTGAACTTGGGGCCATCGCCATGTCCCTGGTCAGGTTCTACCTCAGCCAGGAGCTCATCTTTGAGTTCTTGGATGCTGTCATTGTCAGGGACATTGAGAAAACAGATGACGTCAACACGTTGTTCCGTGGCAACACGCTCGGTACGAAGGCGGTGGATAATTTCATGAAGGTGAGTCGGTGGATGTCATGCCATAGATCAGGGATTTTCAAACTGTGGTACATTAACCACTAGATGTACATTATATTGTTCCATATGTTGCATTATTATTCGTCCCTCACACGTGAAAATGACCACAACTTGAGCAGTAGCCTTGACTTGAGCTGTATTTTGTTTAGAGTGAGGGAGAGCTGCTGAGTTCCTTAGACTCTCGTCCTTGTCTAATTGATCCAATGGCAAGACTTAGTCAAGACAACTGTAAATAGACCAGAATGCAGTAGATGAGGAGCAGTGGTTTCACTGGGCTCTTTATGTGTTCCACGCTAATGCCACCGTCATACCACCTACATGCCACTGTCATACCACCTACATGTCACTGTCATACCTCCTACATGCCACTGTCATACCACCTACATGCCACTGTCATACCACCTACACACCACCGTCATACCACCTACGGTTTGCCCTCTCTTAGATGAGTTGCCATCCAAGGTTAGCGAGTCCCATCCACCCAGGGTGGTCCCATATGTACTAGCGATGAGAAGCTACTGTTTTTGTGTCCTGTTACTTGTTTTAGCTATGCCTTATTTACAGAGACTTGTTTTTTTGTGTGTACTGTTACAGGTTCTAGCCATGCCATATTTACAGAGAGTGTTGAAGCCTCCAGTGGACAGAATCATAAATGAGAAGAAAACTGTTGAGCTCGACCCTTTCAAAGTCAATAGTGTTCGCACGTGAGTACCCAGATTTAGATGATGAGTTTACTGAGAAATGTACCCATAATTATTCTGAAGTTTATAAACAAATGTGTGTGTTAAGGCGTGTCAACACCAGAACATGACACATATACTTGTCGTTGGGAGTTCAAACTCCAGCAATGTCAGAAAATAGCTACATAAATTCAGGTAACTGATCAAAGCCAAGGAAGACCTCGACTGCACACCCAATTTATATGAAGGGAGGGGGGCTATCCTATTGCCGCTTGATTATTTTAATTGAACTTTGTTAAAAATGGCTTTAAATATTTGCATAATTTGTGCGCTGAAAATATATAATGACATTTTCCCCTTCATCCTTGCCAACATTAATAGTAGCCTTTGTTTAGAAATTAAATTTATTCAGGTTAAATATTTCTTTTTCCTCAAGTCGTATCTTCTTTTGATTAGTACAGCTATTAAATAAAATTTACCAATATTTTAAAAAGAATACATTTTCTTTCTGCTGTGACGACATCAGGAGACGCCACAGCCTCCACAGAGAATCTGAAGAGAGTTTTGTGAACCACAGCCTCGAGGCGATAGAGGATTACACCTGTGAGATTGTCAACGGAATCGTGGCCTCGGTGACCTTCTGCCCTCAGGTGTTGCGACGTGTGTTGAGGAACATCCAGATTAGAGTTCGAGAAAAGTGGCCAGAGGAAGTGTTTGAGGTCTGTTCAGTGGCATTGCGATGAAACCTTGCCTGCCAGGTGTGAGGGTGGGGTGGGGGGCGGGGAAATAATGTCTAGAAATAAATTAATATAACAATAAATTGTTCAAAATATTTTGAGAAAATAAGTCAGTATGTTACAAGTTATGTTTAAGTGAACCCGATATGTGAATTGGGCTGTAGTGTCCAATGGTGGCCTGATGTTTGTATTGATTTTATTCCACCCCGCAGGATGTCCCTTACATTGCGGTCAGCGGCTTCATCTTCCTCAGGTTCTTCGCTCCGGCAGTGATGTCACCGAAACTGTTCTCACTCAGTGATCAGCATCCAAATCACAAGGTCATACGCACATTCACTTTGCTGGCCAAGGTGAGGGTCATTTCATTATTTTAACCCCACTTGGGTTTGATTTTGAACAGCTTAAATGAACACTCCCTTGCCGGCGAGATGAGACAAAACCCAAGAGGATTGAAGAGCTTATGTAATCACGTACTCTACATACAAATTGCATAGTTTATGTGTCTGATTCAAAATGTTATAATCAACTTTTCAATATCGATACAGCTTTGATCAATTTTTAAATTATTTCCCCTGTCGTATATCAAAATTTTTAAACCACCATTTCGTATCCAAATTGCCTTTTATTGTCTTCTCTGAATTAAAACTCCTGTGTTTTTTTGAATTCCTATCATCATCTCCTCTTCATCCACATAATGCAAGGTGCTTTATGCACAAAAAATGCAAGGTGCTTTATGGACAAAAAAAAAGTGTACGTGACAAGTAAATCTTGCCGTTTGCTTCCCAGATTATCCAAAGCATAGGCAACCTGACGCCAGGTTGTTTGGGCAAAGAGGTCTGGATGGAACCACTCATTCCCCTCATCACGCAGAAGATTTCAGAGGTCAAAGTGTACTTGGATGCCTTGGTTGATGTGGGGGACTTTTCTGGTAGGCACCTCTCTTTAAGCTAGTGTGAGACCCGCTTGTTTTGGATGGCTGTTCCAAGTCATTGATGAAAAGTGGTATTTTCCATAAAAAAATTATATCGAATTTTTCCATCATTCTCCAAACACACCCCATTCCCCAAACATCTCCCAATCCACAAACACGTGTCATTCCCCAAACACGTGCCATTCCCCAAACACGTGCCATTCCACAAACACCTGCCATTCCCCAAACATCTCCCATTCCACAAACACATGCCATTCCCCAAACACCTGCCATTCCCCAAACATCTGCCATTCCCCAAACATCTGCCATTCCCCAAACATCTCCCATTCCACAAACACGTGCCATTCCCCAAACACCTGCCATTCCCCAAACACCTTGGCATTCCCCAAACACCTTGGCATTCCCCAAACACCTTGCCTATTTTGGAAAACCACTAACACTTACCTTACATATTTCCAGCCGCCCACAGATACCTGGTGAGACAGCAGAGCAATGAGACGATCCTCATCCAGGGATACCTCCACAAGTGCCACTACCACTGCAAACGGCTTTTCCGTCCCATAGTCCTCAAGAAATGCTATTTTTATCTCACACGTGTCATGCTTTGCTACAGGAAAACCCCAGAGGACGTAAGCAATAGCAAAATGGTGACTAGCGTTGGGAGGATCATTTTTCCCCGTATTTTTAAATACCTAAAAAAATACTGTTATAAATCTTAAGCAAGATAAAAACTGTATGCGTTTATAAATGGGGTGATAAAATAAGGTTACCAATAGAAGCTTTCTTTTGCTAATATTACTTTTACACACAGATGATTTATGATTTCATCATTCTAGCTTCAGTTGTTATATGAAAAATATCCGAAAAAAATTGTGACTACCGACTAGAACTGTTGATAAATGTATTAAAATGCTACTTCTTAACAATGTATACTTTATTGAAGCCACATAAGCACTAAATTTACATATTTTAGTCATCAGAGTTCAAAAGTCATTTGTCAACTATGTTATCCATAATACTAATTGATAGGGATGATAAATAAACAGACAGTCAGCAGCAACCACTGTCCTCCACCCCTCTGCCCCCAGAGAACATCTCACAAGCTACACCAGTATTTTTGAATAATTTGGGCTGAAAAGTGCAGATGTGCTGTCTCTTGCTATTTATACAACTATAGTGCAGATGTGCTGTCTCTTGCTATGTATACAACTATAGTGCAGATGTGCTGTCTCTTGCTATGTATACAACTATAGTGCAGATGTTCAGTCCCATGCTATGTATACAACTACATAGCAGATGTTCAGTTTCTTGCTATGTTTACAACTACACTGGAGATATTCAGTTTCCTGCTACGTATGCAACTATAGTGCAGATGTGCTGCCTTTTTCTCTATTCATACAACTACACTGAAGATGTTCAGTGTCTTGTTATGTATACAATATAGTGCAGTTGTTAAGGCTCTTGCTATGTATACAACTATAGTGCAGATGTTCAGTCCCATGCTATGTATACAACTACACAGCAGAAGTTCAGTTTCTTGCTATGTTTACAACTACACTGGAGATATTCAGTTTCCTGCTACGTATGCAACTATAGTGCAGATGTGCTGTCTCTTGCTATGTATACAACTATAGTTCATATGTTCTGTCTCGTATGTTGTATACAACAATCACACTTTATATCATGTAACAGCACACTAAATTGGAAAACAAGCTGAGCCAGGCTTATGGAATCTTTACACAACATGGCACGAATGTCATGTTCTCATTCGCTTGTTAAACCTTTTCTCCGACATCTCCTCGTTGTGGCCAATCGCATTTGACATACTTTTCATCTCTGCTGTCCCATTTTTGCCTGTATTTAATCTCTCACCTGCTTATGTTCTGTCAAATTCCTCTTGCTGTCCTCTCACCTACTATGTTCTGTCACATTCTTCTTGCTGTCCTCTCACCTACTTATGTTCTGTCACATTCCTCTTGCTGTCCTCTTACCTACTTATGTTCTGTCGCATTCCTCTTACTGCCCTCTCACCTGCTTATGTTCTGTCACATTCCTCATGCTGTCCTCTCTGAAACTATATTGCAGCTAAGTTTTATCTTTGTTTTATTTTTTTTTTACTGTTGTTTGTTCGCTGAAGAAGACTTCTTTCCGATACATTCGTTATTTTGTTACATGCTTTTATTTAGGTTTTCCCATATTTTGTTTTCTCATTTCCTTATCCCTAACCTGATTGCAGGCTCTCATCCTTGTTAAAATTTTTTGTGGGTTGGGATCTCTTCTCTCGAAGTCATATGTTTTCATACCTTTTCTTGTTTTTCTTTCAAATCTCCTCATGTAGTAAGCTTTAACTTTATAATTTATGCATGTCTGTTCCATTTGATGCAATTAAAGAGAGGCAAATAATCACTTTTTTTGTGTGTGGCCATTTAATCCCTTGGCAGGAGGACACAATGGTGATGGTGGAGAATATTTGTGCTGTGGAGAAGCTGGACTACGGAGCTCTGGGCAAGTCTAACATGGGCCAGATCATCCACAAGACCTCGGATGAAAGTACAGCCATCATCTACTTCCAGGCAAAGGTCAGCTCGCGCTGTCCCAGGCTTTTAGATTAAAAATCTGTTAGAAAATTTACATTTAGCCCATATGACTGCTTATTCCTTGTGCTTAATTCTGATTGAGGTCAAATTTGCAAATTAATTTCCCCCCCCCCCCCACCAACAATCAATTTTGCATGTTATTTTGTTTAAAATGTAGACTGTTTGTCTTAAAATGGTTCTTGAGGTTTGTCTAGACATATTAAAAATCTGTTAGAAAATTTACATTTAGCCCATATGACTGCTTATTCCTTGTGCTTAATTCTGATTGAGGTCAAATTTGCAAATTAATATCCCCCCCCCCCCACCAACAATCAATTTTGCATGTTATTTTGTTTAAAATGTAGACTGTTTGTCTTAAAATGGTTCTTGAGGTTTGTCTAGACATCTTTAAAATCTATATTAAAGAATTTTTAAATAAAATTTGGGAAGTCCATAAATAATTTTAAGCATGTTTGATGTTTAAAAATCTCATGTAGATATTTTGCGTCTGGTGTGTCCTGCTTCCTTTTTGAAACCGACCTTCCCCTTACTTGACACAGTATTAATAATAATGAGTGGAAAAAAAGCTGTCACGCAGCGAGCATCATGTGTGACAGTTAAACTCGGGTAACATTTTAATTATTTTCTTTAGGGGAAGGCAACTGTTACGTTAATGAATAAAGAGCCACGGGTATGGCCTAGGACTGTCTGTAGGCTTCTCTGTAGGACTGTCTATAGGACTGTCTGCAGAACTATGGTTTACAGGCCATCAGTTAGGATGTAGGTCTGTGTGTAGGCCTATTGTTTCAAAGCCTGATGTAAAAAATCTGCACCCGGTTAAGCCCTAGTGCAGCGGTTCTCAACCTGTGGGTCGCGACCTCTTTGGGTGTCGCACTATCCTTTCCCAGCGGTCGCCTAAAACCATCTGAAAACACATATACTTACAGTTATGAAGTAGCAACAAAAATAATTGTGTGGCTTTGGGTCGCCACGACATGAGGAACTGTATTAAAGGGTCGCGCCAATAGGAAGGTTGAGAACCACTGCCCTAGTGTTAAATATTTTTTTTAAATTGCAGGATGTTAATGAACTAACAGCATGGATATCTGCCATAAGGAAAACTTGCAAATACAACGTTTGTCGGATTGAGACTTTTCACCCGGGGGTTTTCAAAGGAGATAAATGGAACTGTTGCCGAAGAGAGCAAGACATTGGTAAGAATGGGATATTGACCTTTTTTTGTTAATATTTGAAAGTGTAGAGCTGAGAGCTCTTGGTTGTTTACATAGAAACATTTTGGTAAATAATTTTTTGTTTCTCATTCATTTAATTTTCTCTCAGCACCGAATCCTAAATAGTTTTTGTTATTATCAGCTTGTTTATAATGTTATTAGTATGAGAGTAATTTTATTATCTGCAGGCTAGAATGGTGTATTCCATAACTAGTAATTACAGAAAAATGTGGTCAGCATTCTGTGAAAATATAACCCCTGATGGATTTTTTATGTCTATGAATGTACAAATAATATTTATTATGCTTTTGAAGCATGGCCCTTATTGCATAAATAATTAGAATTTCAGTTGTATTAAAAATAACATCGCAAGATTTTTTTGTGACCGATTTTCACCTTTTGCATTGACCAAATGTTTGACAGCTCCTGGCTGCAGCCCCACCTACCACGGGGTGGTGCTCGGTGATTGGCAGGACCCGCTCGACCCAGATGTGGATGCTCAGATAATTTACAGCCAGATAGCCCACAGCAAGGACAAAATCAGGTGAGATCATTCTGAATAATATAAGGGGCACAGCGTTCAAGCTATCTTAAGTAAATCAATAGTGGAACAAGATATGTTTAGGCGGGAAAATAAAAGATAAGAAAATAAATCGTCCATTTCGGCTAGATGCCTTCTTCAGCAGACAATCCAAAACAATAGACAGCAGATAAATTTAAAATAAAAAACAACTTATTTTTTCGAAGATCTCAATAAAGTCAACGTAGCTCAATGTTTAGAACAGGAAGTGCTCTACGTTATTGTTAGAAACGGAAGTTGAGTTCTTCAAAACCAAAATGTGTGTCCCACATTATTCTGTGGTGCATACTATCATGGTGAAAGAATTTAAATATTATAATGTAAAAATTTTAAAGAGCAAAAATTGAGAATAGAAATTCAGGAAATTAAAGATCATAAGAGAGCATTTAATTAATTCCATATGGTGATATAGTGCACAAAATCTGAGTTAATTGGTTTTCATTCCTCATTCTCGCTGGTGTCTTGGTGCAAGAAATTAGAGCGGTTATGGATACGTCTGATGTGCCCTTGTGTTCACCTCCATTGTAATGGGATGAGACCAGGGATGGCTTGTTTTGTTCAATATTCCAAAGATGTTCACTGAACTTATCAGATAGTCTTCTTCCCTCCTCACCTATATCAAGCGACATCTTTGGCAAAGATTTACATAAATCCTATTTGGACTGATATATGTGAAGCCGTCTTTGAGTAACAAAGGTTTCCCAAGGAAAACAAATGTGTTAGGTTTCCAGAGCTAGTCCTATAACTGCTTTTTGAATAGGGTTTAGTCCCAACTTGAGAGGGTTCAGCTCGAAGGTGACCGTGAAGCAGAAGGTCACAAAGATTTTTATCCTGTCTGAAGACAATAAGTTGGGGGGACCCTGTTAGTGTCAGGGTCAGCACGGACAATATGATGATCCATTTTAAAAAAATGCCATTTATAAGCCTCATTACATGTGATTGTACTGATGCGATGGAGTGCCGAAATAAGGGCACTCTCTGGATAAGATTGGGAATGGAAGAAGTCCTCCACCATTTAATTTGCCCTATCTTAACAGTCTTTATCTGACTGAAAGAGGCAAAGTAGCCTAAAAAGTTTGGAAGGGGATCATTCATCTCAGCTTACCCAAGAAGTTGGGAAAAAGGGTATGGAGTCTGTTCATGATCTGGGGTGGGGAGATGAATACAATAAGTAACTACTGCACGCAGTTTTTTAATTGATGTAGTAGTTATGGTCTAGGTCTTCTTAGCTTTTATTCCCTTAAAACAACATAAAAATCTAAAATATATAGGATGCTTGACAATAATACTAAAATATTTATGAACGAAAGATGGTTGTGGATTGAGAATTCCCAACAAATTTTCTCCCTCCAGAAAAATGCAGCATGATCTTCGAATGACAATAGCAGGAAATGACCCCACAAGAGCAGCGGTCCCAAGGGACTCAAACGATGCAGCCATGGCAAGCCTCTCCCTCGTGTCAGGTGTGCTCGATGTGACAGAGCAGCTGGCCATGTCCCACCAAACATTTGTCGAGTCCAGTCCCAGACTTTCTCACACGTCCAGATCTCGAAGTGTCAGCAGCAGTGTAAGTGGCGAGGATGGATTATTTTAGCCTTGTGATCGACCTTGACATTCTCCACCTGTTTGAATTTTTTCTTGAATGTTCTATTTTTTTTTTACCTCACCCACTTATAATTATTCCATAAAATTCCATCTTGTTTTGTGCAGACATATCCACTGTTGATAGATTCAACCAATATCCACTTTTAAACAGTATTTGACCATTTATAATGCCAGTTTTTTTTTGTAATGCTGTAATTTCTTGATTACATTAGGCCCATATTTTTCAGATTTGTAAAAGGTCCAACTATCCAGATTGTATTAGGCTGGTACTTTCCAGATCGTATTAGCCCTGTACTGTCCATATTGTACAAGGGTCACTCTATCCTGATGTTCTAGGATCATATCTGTACTATTTGTTGAATTATAATTTTGATGTGTTTACAAACCATTTTTTTGGAATTTGAATATTTTTTCTTTCCTTTCTTCTTTAAAGCAAATTCTGTGATGTTAAATGTTTAATATATATGTATATATATATCATCTATATTTTATGTTACCTGTATGATAATAGGGAGTGTAGATATCAATGGTTTATTGCCAAGCTTTGCTCCACTTGTCTCTATGAAACACGCTACTAACACAGTTGATTTTTAGTTGATGTGACCAATGATTGAATGGGAAAACCCAAAAGATGGGTGGCTGCAATGGTTAAAATATTGGTACAACTCAGTTAAAAAAAAAAAAAGAAAAAGTTAAAATATAATGTATATCAAGAAGGGGTGGGTACAAGGGTTCCCCTGTGGATATTATACATATTTCACAAAAAATAATATCTTTTGATTCCTTGTTTCATTCATATTAGGGCATAAATATTTTTACATCAATATCAGTAAAAGCCCTTTATCTAAATTTCACAACAAAATCAATAAACGTTCTCAATAAATTTTAAATATTTCAAGTATGTTAATTGAATATGAACATTAATTAAAGCGTTACATTTTTCCAACTTAGAGTTTTTAAACTTTTAACCACTGCCACCTTTTTCGTTAAAAAAAACAACATTTTATTGCAGAAGCCCCATGTTCCCATTCAATTAGAATTCAGTTTGAGTTGTTTCAACTTTACTAACAACTTTCTAGATGTATCCCATACATTTGACCCACAAAAACTAAAATATTAAAATGCCGCCATTGAAGCACTGTGTTGCTCACAGGGTTATTTACCTTCATCTCATGTCAACAAATTGATTATCATATTAACTGTCAGGGATTTACCTTTTTCTTTTTTTAAAAAAAAAATGTCCTCTCAGATTTTTGTTGTTTCCATTTACAAAAGATCCTAAACAAGGTGAGATAATTTTGCATGTTTTTTTGTTTTTTTTTAAATTTTTTATTACTGGTTAACTGCCAACCTATTTGAAAAAAAAAAAAAATCAATTATTGTATACAATGTGTTTACAACAAAGAAATATTTGTCTCAGATATCAATGCCCTATATATGTTACACGTGCCATATACCCTTACCTGTTGTTTGCTGTTTACATTATAACTTGATAGGAATCAATAGGATAGTTTTCAATCAGGGAAGGGGAGATGATTTTAACATTAGGGAAAAAAATGGGAGAAACATTTATAAGCACCTAAACATTTCAATGACCTAAGGGAAAAAATACTGATTTGGCTGTCCAATAGTAGGCATACATTTGTTATTTCTCTTAAATTAAAACAATGCTTTTACTTACATTAAATAATTGTTTTTCAGTTTTGGAAAAGTTAGTCATATCCATTGTAAGGTGAACAAATATTTGAAACTTGTCCAAATTGTTGACAATTTAAATTAAGAGCTTTTATTATAGAGTTTCTCTGAAGCATTACAATAATAAAAAAAAAAAATTTCCATTGAAAGAAATAATGAAATGAGATAAGTGCAATGACCTGCAATCAGCTTGGATGACTTATGTGCTGTGGTTACAAAACAAAATAATCTCATCTATGATTGAAATTGGGGACTTTAGCAAAAAATGAGCAACATTTAAAAAAAATATATATATTTCTTAACAAATGATGTACACAAGTGTAAATGATGTACACAAATGTGCACTCTTAGTTTGCAGTAATTTTTTTTTTTGGATTAAGGATAAATGTGACTCTGTGTTTTTGACCAATGAAACAAACTGAAACGTCCTGTACAAGGCACAATTTTTCCATTACATACAACTTCAACATTTTATCATGACCTAAACTGTCTCCTTGTCTGTCAATGCCTGCTACGATACCATTGTCACACAGACGATTAGTATTACAATGAGCTGGTATGGTGTAGATTGTTGTAATGTTTTCCCTGATAATTATTGCAAACGTTTTTCTTTTTTTTTTTTCCCTTCCAACACTGGAAATTGTTTTCTCTCTGCTTTTATTTGTGTACATTTTAATGAAGCGGTGTCATGTTTCTCAATGTTGGTGACTTATTCAATGTGACAGCTGCAGTGAGTCTTAAAGTTTGTGTAATACTTTTATCAAGGGCTTAAAACATAACCGGGTAAAATTAAATGCTTCAGCAAGAGTAAGTCTTATAAATTCTTACTGCAGTAAATGTTTAAAATACTGCTGCAGTAAGTGTTTATGTGTTCCTGCAGTAAATGTCAGAGCCAACAGAATGTAACAATTTAAAAAAAACAAACAACTATGAACAGTATTTGATCATTAAATAAGTGTCAAGACACCTTAAACCAGCGGTTCTCAACCTGTGGGTCACGACCAATATGGGGGTCGCGCGACCCTTTCCCAGGGTTCGCCTAAGACCATCTTAAAACATATTCTTACAGCTATGCAGTAGCAACGAAAATAATTGTGTGGCTGGGGGTCGCCACGACACGAGAAAATGTATTAAATGGTCGCGGCAATAGGAAAATTGAGAACCACTGCCCTAAACAATATAAATCTGTACTTAATGGTGGCAAGTTATTATATTGATCGACACCTTTTATTCTTTTTTTTACTTTAAAAATATAATTAATGTTGTAGCAGGGTATTATATTTATAAACTTCTTTTTTTTTTTTACTTAATAAATATTCACATTAATGTTGAACTTGGAAAAAAACAACACAACACATTCCTTTTAAAATCAACACAAAAAAAAGAAGACGAAGTTAAGAACGTGTGTTGCATATCTAATGGTCACCCAATTTCAACTGCAGGGGTTCTTCAGCCGTTCCTGTTTTGGGCCACTGTTCGATAGCTGTGTCCATCTCAGATCTACCTGGCACTATTTATAATATTTATTTCAGACTGTAGCAGTCTTTATTTGTAGGCACCTTCTATGATTGGACCGGTTGATAAGACTGAATAACTCAAGCCATTCAATACTGAGCATATTACAGTTGCAATCAGCTTGTCCATCACTTTAGATATACTAAATGAAAAACAGCCACAGAAAAGAAAGATGACGAAGTATGCAGAACTCTATTTTAACATGCTATAATTTGAAAAGAAATGCAAATGGGATTTAAAAAAAAGAATCTGGTCCCCTTTCTTTAGTGTGTGCATGACTAATGACTGAAATATTACAGGGAGTTTCATGAGGGGGATGGGGGGGGGGCGTACTCTCTGACTAAAAATGTTTTTAACATTAATTTGTGAGCTTACCAACTTTTAGAAATGTATCTCTATGATGCGAAAATGGGCATGGTCTTCTCATGAGAGATGCTGCTCATTTGTCAAATTACCACTCAGAACCCCTTCCAATTTTTTTGTGTAATCAGTGCAGCGGGGATGATTTTAACTTTGATTGTTGATGCCAATGGTAGATAAATGTGTTAAATGACTTTTTATCATTTCATGTGTTACACCTTAGATTACCTATATTTTATGTTAATGTAAACACAAATCATGTTAGCATCAGTTTGTTTAGTTTGTTGTTGTTTTGAGCTCCGTAATTATTGTCCGCAATCCTGTCATATTGACACACACCCCCACTAGAAATGACAAAGCCTGGTTAGCAGGC